CAAATTAAGGTGTCCTTTCTGACCAGAAATATGAGACACAGTATTGTGTTTCTGATGCATCTCCTGTAGTTTAACATTCTGGAGGCAATCATCCAAATAACTATGATTTTTATTTTTCAAAATACGAGCCTGACATCTCATTTTTAAACATGACGCTGGGCTGAAAATAACTATGTAAAAGAAAATCAAATTACAAAACAGATATTAGAAAAGATTGTTTTGTGCATGTGGCTGACGGCCACTAACCCTGCGAAGGCTGCACAATGGTGTAGAGACAAATAACAGATTGTGAGATTAGATATGGGAACAGTCATTGCTTTCCAGTGCGTGCTCTAGTGTGTGTGTGTGTGTGTGCTTCACAGGTGCTGCAATGGGCAGCGTATGGCATCATGTGAGGGAAGCAGTTTCAAAAGGCTACATTTTGTCTTGGCTGTCTCGTAGCCTGTAAGCCTCTCTGAGCTGGGAGCTTGTGCTACTGTCCGTGTGTAGGGGACCCCGTACAGGCTGGTGCCTGCAGAGATGTGCCCCAATAACCAGCGTTATTCCTCCCTGCTACTGCGGTTGAAAACAAGATTCTTGAATAGATTTGTCTGTAGTTTCTGCTATCCCTTGATCAGACTCTTGGCCTCACTCAAGTTACGTGAAGTGATCAGAGAATACATCTATATTGGCAAGTAGCAACAGATCAGCAGACAAAACCTTGGTGCCCAGTTCTCTATACCTACTCCATGTACAGTTCACGTTTTTTACTTTGCACTAGATTTGTTCTGATCCTCTGGACCAAACATTTCAGCACTCAGCTGGTCCAAAACCATCCGAAAGACCAGTGATTATTTTGTACCCTTATGCCTCTATTATGAACTGGAGCCCAGCTGGTGCACACCTGGAGCGGAGATTCTGGTTTAACCTGAATGCACATCAGTACCACCCCCCAGCCTGAAATGACGTGTGAGAGGTGGGGGAGTTACTCAAAAATCACAGCATGGCTCTGAACAAAAATGCTGTGCTAGGTGCAGCTGGAGGCTGGCAAACTGAGGATTCCCCAGCATGAAGGCATGTTAACAGTGGTCGAGGATAAAAGACAAAAAACCACAATGGCCTTAGTATGACTGGGCCGTAGCTCAGCCGGCAGGAAGGAAAGCAGCTCTGCCACTGCTCTGTCTGAAACAGGGTATGTCCTCGCAAAAAGCAAAGCATAAACAAACGTCATGACAGATGAAATTCCTTCCTCTCTCATTGCTGTGGATTTTGTCCATCATTGACACATGCTGTTAAAACTGTAATATAAAAAGTTTGTCTGTCAATATGAGTTTCACCGGTGTGTGGCCACTGGCATGCCCTAGTGATGTCCAGACCTCCTGGTAGGATGAAAGGTGAAGGGCAGGTTGCAGGTGCTATTTCTGGTCCCATCTTCCCATGGGCCCAGGGTGGTGACAGAGAGGGGACTGGGACCTGTGGCAGTGCTACCGTGACACCATGTCCCCAGGAGGCTTGAGCACGCTTGCGAACATGTTTACGCAGGTACGATTATGGACTTGAGACTGAAGTATTTTTCTACCAGTTTCCTCAATGGGATTTCTCATTTAAAACCAATAGAGAACAGTATGATGGGGCATTAATTGCATATCAATATATTATTGAGGTAAATAGTTGGTTTGTGACACTTACTTGGGTCAGACGCTATTCTGGGCTTTTCGGAGGTGCTTTATGCCTTGCTTTCTAAATATTATTGAAAAGTAAATGGTAGTGTTGTTTCTGGTTGCTATGGAGGAACCTCCCAACATAAGTCCAGAATTAAGCCAGGATATGTTAATACAGACTAAACACAGGATTTCCTTCAAATATATAGGCGAGTACAGTTGCAGAGGTTTGCACTATACGTGCCAGCTGGCAGTGGTGTCCCACATCATGCTCCTGGTTAGGCAGAGCTCCTCTCCAACCTCATCCTCTTCTCTGCTGGAAGCACACCTCCTCCTCCTTTAAACCATGTCACACACTGCATACGCTTGGAACAGGGACAGGTTTTATCTTTGCGTCTTGACAACGGCTGAATGCACAGTTATTTATAAACAGATCAATTTTTATCCCCTTTTTAGCCTGTAGAATTAGCTTTACAAAGGAAGTGTGTGTGGGGGGGGTGTTTGTTGCTGCTATTTTGTGTTTCTAGATGTTTGACAAATGTGCTGCTTATTACCTTCAACCAGATTACAAAATGCAGTTGAATGTAAGTGGTAGTATGCAATGTAATTATGTCAGCAAATGAACCCTAGAATTGGTCATTTTGCTGTAGCTGGTCTTGGTCTTGGTTTTGCTTATATGAAAAAAGTAACCTCGATAACCTCTTTCGTAGGAGGAGTAACAAATACTGCACAGTATCAAAACAGGCTCATGGTCTATGATCCTAAGCAGGTGGGTATCTGTGTTGTATGTGTTTTTTCTCTCATGTTTTGCTTCAAACAGGTCTCTTAGCAAATACATACAATGATTTTGTAAGGCTTAAAATGCTGACCACTTGAGTTAGTGGTATTTTAAATTCACTTTCTACTGATGTGTGAGTTTCACGGAGTAATGGAGACCCTGACTTTTTATTATGTTTTTTAAGCCTGTAGGCATTAGAAACATCTTAGATTAAATACAGAAATGTGCTTTAAATCCCCTATATTTATCAGTATTTATTTTGCTTGTTCATTTTTTTGTAATCTAGCAGCCCTAGGCAACGTATACTCAAAGTCAGTGTCACGAAACTGCTCCTTGTCATTGGCAATTCTGCTTTGAATTGCATATATGGGCTTTTTGTTTTCTGCATACTTTCAGAACTGTACTACCTGGCCGTGACTTATTCTGCCGGCTGCAAGGGTGCCTATCATTTCATTACCTAAGCACCTAAAATATCTTTTAGGAATTATTTCATACATTATGTATGTGTTTTGATTAGGTTAGCATGGCTCAGTAACCATTTCAGAGGGTTAGGGCATGGTTATGCCTTCTTGCTTGTATTAGGAATTAAAAGTCCTAAGCTTGCAATCAGAGTTGCATAGCCTGATTTACACCCATGTGGAAGAATATTGACTTTTCTGATTGTAGGATAGGGGCTTTGATTGCTGTATTTGGAAACGAATTGTGCCAGGAGATACTTCTATGTCGTTCCCACTGACTTTTTTAAGTCTGCAGCAGAAAGCAGGCAATGACACACCGCCTCCTTCTTTTTGAGGTGTGGTTTTATGCGTTCATTGTACCAATGCTGATCCTGTCCTAAATCCAAGTACTAATTACGGGCAGCAATCTTATTTTGCTTATGAGGGGGACGTTCTTTTTTAGATACTGTGCCTCTACTGTGTATCTTTCACTTCGATTCTTTACTTGCTGACGTGAAAGTTGCACCCCAGAATGCCAGCGGTATACTTCAGCATGCCGTGCCGACGGCGAGAAACCCGGCCCGGCGCGTAAAGAGTTACAGAGGAAGTGTGCGCTCGCATTCTTCAAACGAAGTCCGCTTCGTGTTTGTACACACAAGCTCTTTTTAAAAATTCTGCTGGCATATTGTTTACGGTGGGTACTGGAAACCATCACATCTGCTCGCATCTCGCACGGAATCTCAATAACTCTATCATTCAGCACCAGCGCTTGCTCCTGCGCGAGGCCTTTGTGGCGAGTCGATAATGCCTGCCATCTGCCACAGAGCACACAGCTACCTGCCAACAAGCCGGCTGGGGTGACCTCTGCTTCCCCACCACTGATTAGTATTCACACGCCGGCTTATTAGAAATGACCCCACCAGGCCCCTCGGTTTCTTTGCCTTTGCAGCGCTTTGCGGCTCACCTGGCAGGCACTGCAGTGGAGGAAGCTAAAGATATAATCAGGGGATGCAGGCAGGCTTTGCAAAGCAGATGGTGTCTATAGTCTGGTGTTAAGAGACTGGACTACTAATGCAAACATTAATGCCTAATATTCAACTATTACCCATTGAAATGTATAGCTATATATTGCGGGGGTTAAAAGGCAGTAGTAGTAGAGGCTCTTGAGTTACCGCAAGCAGTGGCACATGTAATACAAAGAATTTCCTTACGGATTTTAACTTGCTCCAGTTAAATAAATTAATCTCATCCGTTGCCGGGTTGTTTGATTCGGTAAGCGTGGAAGGAGCCACGCTTTTCTTAGGTTTAAAATATCATGCTTTGATCCCTCTTCTTCCACGTCCTTTCCCCCCTCCCCTCAAAAGGTAAAATTACTGAATATTGTTAACAAGGAAGAAAAATGTGCAAAAGGACATTACTTTGCAAGTGCCCACAAATAAAGGGTTAGCATTAAACCAAGTACATGAATCGTTTGAGAAGATTCTTTAGGAAATTATTTTTTCCTGTTGCTTCATTCCCCAAGGATAAGATGAAATAAGCTTCTGAATAACGAAAGGTAGAAGAATCTCTCTTCACTCTTAACAGGGCTAGTTGGTACAGATAATTTTAGTGCTGTATACAAAGGAGACATCTAATAGTCTTGCTTAAGGAGGATTTGCTTCGGAATTCTAAAGAAGAAAAAAGCTTTGAAACCCGATGAGCTAAACAGAAAAAACACAGAGCAAGAAATACTATTAAATTAATGAATTTAAACGTGAGAACTATAAACCACGTGTTGAAATTCCAGTATTTCTAGTCAGTGTTATAACCAACATGTGTGTTTAACGTATGAACAACACAAGTATATACACTTGTGATTTCTGGCCAAGGGCTAAGGAGAACACCACTAACATGCTACTATTATTGTACTATTAACATAGGTATGTCTTTGAGCAGTGCTGAAACAAATTCTCTTTTCCTTTCCAGAACAAGTGGTTAAGCCGTAGCCCGATGTTGCAGAGGAGAGTGTATCACTCCATGGCTGCTGTCCAAAGGAAACTTTACGTGTTAGGTGGGAATGATCTGGACTACAACAACGATCGGATCCTGGTTCGACAAATAGACTCCTACAGCATAGATGCTGACCAGTGGACGCGTTGCAGCTTCAACATGTTGACAGGCGAGTATTGTACACCAAAAGAGGAAACTCACTACTATTAAAATAAAACATCTTTTCCCTTTAGATGCCTTTAGTATGTGGAACTCCACAACTTCGCCTCAGTTGCCTCTGATTTAGGGGCCATCATTGGCCAACAAGACAGTTTTGATTACTGTTCTTGCATTCAGTGTTCTACAAAACATTTGTCTTGGAACATTGTAGGATAAATTTTTAAGAAGGTGCGCATAAATGTAATTTCATTAAGCAATTAAAAAATCTTTGTTATAGTATTACCAGTACTTATTTTTGATTCTCCAAAAGCTTGTTTGCACTGATAGATTTAGCTCCCTGTTTGAGTGTTCAACAGGCAGATCCATTTCTACCATGATGTTGTTTTGTAGTGCTTCCTGC